GTTTATCGTTTCATTCATAAAATAAATGGATGGCGTACAATATTAGCGACGTATTTTTGATACGTAAGATTCTTGAAGGTTGCCGCAGAGCCAGACCATCTATTGACAGAGGCTCCAATTACACTTTTTAATGTTGCATGCAATCTGTAATGTTTTACACGCTGTTACAAAAAAATAAATTTAAAAAACCGTTCTTTTAAAAAACAAAATTTTTTTAACGCAAAAGCAAAAATTTTTGGGGCCCTTTTTAGAAAAACGAATTTTTTTGCGACTTGGACAACGAATAGACCCAGTGGGGTTTTTCCCGAGGCCCAAAAAATAGCAAAGGAAAAAAAGTCTGTTTTCATTACTTTAACAGTTTTAAGAATAATCAGTACGGGAACCCAAAGAAACCTTTAAAAATCCCGGGGTCGGGAGATTTTTTCCTAAAATCCCCAGTCTGTATTTTTACGCCCCTTTCAAAGCTTTTTAACCCAAAATTAAAAAACGGCCCAATTTCTTTTTTCATATGAATGGCACCCTGTAATTTCGCTATAAATTTTTCTGGGGTGCTTCAAAAAGAGTTTATTCAAAAAAATTGGGGTTTCAAAAAAAATATAAAACCCAAATAGCTTTAAAAATTTGGTAGGGCTACCCCAACAAAGGTTTCTTTGGGCTCCCCGGAAAGGAAAATAATAAATTTTGGGCCCTTTGGGGAACCCTCGACAGCTTTTTTTAATTTAAATAAAAGATAAACCCCCAAAAAATTAGAATATTAATTTAAGGGCACTTTTTTCTTTTTCTTTCCCAAAATATTTGGTTTTTGGGGATTCATTACCATATTGGGCCGGGTCAAAAGCCAGTTTAAAAATACCCCCAAAATTAAGTTTCCCGACGGACATAGAAATTGTTTTGGTGGGGCTTTTCGGGGTTTTGGGGGAATGGGAAGATTTAAATTTTTTGTGCCCAAAAACTACCTGTGGTTTTTCGAAAACCGCCAAAGGTTGTATTTTTTTTATTTAGGGGGAATGAAACCCTTAAATAAAGGGGAATTATTACGCTTCATATTAAAATGGTGGGAGGAAAGACCAATATATTACATCGTTTTTGACCCCTGAATTCGGCCCGGGTCCCATATTTTGCGCGTATTGATTGGGGGGTTGGAAATTTAAAGAAAAAACGGGCTTTAAAAGAAAAGAAAAGAAAAACCCCTAAACCCAAAATTTTGGGGGAAAATAATTTTTAAAAAAAGAAAACCAAACAAATTTTATACCTTTCGATATCGGCCCAAAATACAACCGGGGTTTTTTTTGGAAAACGATGGCCCTTCATCTATCCGACGTCGGCTTTAAAATGTACATTAACCCCAAAAAACCCGGGAAAATTTTTTTGAAAATATTTTTTAAGAATTTTGGGGAAAAAAAATAAAAATTTTTTCTGGGGGCGGAAAATTTTTCTTTGGTGCGAAACCAAAGGGGTCACTTTCTACAATTTGCTAGTGTCTTTCATACAGGGAGATAAAAATTCACATTGCATACCTATGGTCGTGGAATATTCCATAGTGGTTGTCTGTGGGTAGACTCAGCGATCTGTAGGATTCAAAATTACTTATGGTTGTTTAAATGGGCCTTCAAGAACTGGCCAGATAGGCTATGACTAGGCGTTCTTTGATGAGCTCTAATTTTGTTAGGCCTATCTTATTAATGTTAACAGCACTGTATAACTATGTTGCACTGGTGGGTTATATCAGGTACTGCGGAGTACCTTGCTTGCTGGTTATATTAGGTACGGCGGAGTACCTTGCTTGCTGGTTATATTGGGTACGGCGGGAGTACCTTGGCTACTGGTTATATTAGGTACAGCGGAGTACCTTGGCTGCTGGTTATATTAGGTACGGCGGAGTACCAAAGTTTGCTGGTTTTATTGGGGACGGCGGGGGTTAACCCCTTTTTAGCATTCTATAAAAAATCGCCAAGGGGGCGGGTACAAATTTCAAAATAATGTGGGAAATTTGGGGGGAGGGAAACCCATTTTTGGGGGGTAAAGGGATATCGCTCCCCGGGCGCACCCTTTTTCCCTATAGTGGGAGTCTTAGGTATAATTTAAAACTTCAAATTTGTGGTTGTCCCGATGAAAGGGTTCTCGGGGTGTCATGGGCCGATTCCGCCATTTTCAAAACCAAAATGAAAAAACTTATAAAAATGTTTTTTTTTGATGAAAAGGGCTGATGACGTGGCCCCCCCCCCCCCCCCCCCCCCCCCCCCCTTTACCCTAAATAAATATAAAAAAGTTTGTTGTTGTTTTTTTTTGTTAACTTTAAAATCTGAGTCCCAAAAAACAAGAATTTAAATTTTAAAATTAATCTACTTTAAATTTTGGCTCAAGTGGCCAAAGTCCCTAACCTATAAAAACATTTTTAAATCGGCCTTAAGTACCCCGCCCAAAATTCCGGGCCCCGGGGGAAGTAAAATCAAAATGAAAGTTCAAGTCAAAATTTTAAAGGCGATCATTTGGTAATTCGGCCCCCTTTTTTTTCGGGGCAAAGCAATAAGCAAAAAAAACCCCCCCCAACCCCACCCCCAAAAATAAACATGGGTTTCTTGGGTTTTATTCTTGTATTTTGGGGGGTTTTATTTAAATTGGGTTGGGAAATCCAAATGGGGGCTGCAGTTTTATATTTCAGTATGTTTCTGGCGTAACTGGCCCCGTACTGCTGACTTTAAAGGGGGGCACGCCCAAACGTTAAATGGACGAAAAATCCCCAATGAACGGGCCCTGCCGGGGTTCCATAAAACCCGCATTCACCGGACTGATTGTACTAAAGGGCTTGTGTAAAATATCCTGACAAGGGGTCAAAAATGTTTTTCTATTTTTTAATATGTGGGTTTTTTTAAAAATATACGCCCCGGGGTTCAAGAAAGAACAAAAAATTTGAACAAAGTGCAAAAACCCCCTTTTGGGCGGAGGGGTTAAGACTTTGGGAAATTATAATTTGGGAAAAAAGGGGGTGTTTAAAAAATCCCAGACCAAAAAGGGTAAACAGTTTTTTTTCAATACATATGGTTTTTTTAATTACAAAATTAAGTTGGGGAAGGCATATATATTAACAGCGTTTACAAAATAGTTTTTATAATTTAATTTTTTGTTTTGCAGGGGGAAAATTTTTTTCTTTGGGCGCCAAAAGGGGTCCTTGCTAAATTTCTAAAATGTCCCTTTTATACAGGGAGATAAAAAATTCACATTGCATTTCCCATGGTCCCTGGGAAATTTTTCCATAAATGGTTGTCCCGTGGGTAGACTGGGATCTGTAGGAAATTTAAAATTACTTATTTGGTTTTTTAAAGGGCCTTCAAAAACTGGCCAAATAGCTTTTGAAATAGGCCCTTCTTTTTATGAGCCCCTAATTTTTTTTAGGCCCATCTTAAAGTTAAAGACTGAAACTATGTTCCCCTGGTGGTTATATCAGGTATGCCCGGGGTACCTTGTTGATGGTTTATTTAGGTAGGGGGAGACCTTGTTTTCGGTTTTTATTGGGGTTAAAGGCGGGGGTTTTCCTTTTGGGTTAAATGGTTATATTAGGGACAGCGGAGTCCTTGGCTGCTGGTTAAAATTTGGTACGGCCCGGGGTACCAAAGTTTGCTGGGTTTTTTTGGGGACGGCGGGGTACCTTTTTAGCATACTATAAAATATCCCCCGGCGGGGCTAAACAATTACAAAAAAATAGTGCCCTAGGGGGAGGGGTCATTTTTGGGGGTAACGGCATATCGGTCCTGGTCGCCCTTTTATTTCCCATAGTGGTAAGTCTGTAGGGAGATCAATTAATCTTTTATTTTGTGGGTTTTTGATGAAGATTCATGCGCTGGGGCATGAAACCGGGTTCCGCCATTTTTTAAAAACCAAAATGAAATCCCAATTTAATTAAAGTTTTTTTTTGATGAAATGTCCCCGATTGAACCTTTCCCCGTTACTTAAATAGAATATAAAATTTTGGGTTGGGGTTTTTTTGGGGTTTTTTAACCCATAAAAACTGGGGTCCTAGAATAAAGGGGTTTTTGGGGAAATTAATATATATAAATATGCCCCCGTAGGGCTGCATTAAAAAAAACACGTTTTAAGGCCCAAAACTATTTTAGAAAAAGTCCCTGGCTAAAGTTTTGAAACCATATATATATAGTATATTGTGAAATTTTATAATTTAACTCAAATAATATTGCCGTACAGTTAATATGTTATGTTAAACTTGAAAATAATAGAATTAAGACTGTATCTATATATATGACAGGGTTTGGTGGACACAGCTGTGAAGACAAGTCGTAGTGGTTATCTACAGAGATGTTTAATCAAACCTTTTTGGGGTTTTCAAGGTGGGAAAAAATGACCTTACAGTACGAGACTCGGGCAGCCTGTTTTTAAGGGACCCGCGTTTTAATTTTTGTTTTTTTATCAATTAACTTTTTTTCATTTTATTTTAAAATTTTTTATATGAGTTTTATCCTTTAAATTTTTAATCCCCAAAAAAAAATTTTTAAGCATACAATATCATTGAATAGTTTTATCTTTATTCATAAGTGTTTTTAATAAATATGGTTTATTCAATAATAAATAAGATGAGGGTCTCTGTGACCGATAGGTTAAGGTTGCTGATGTCAAATGACCTGCCCCTCAGCTGTTGGCTCTTTCATGTGAGAAAGCTATTTAGTTTGTTTATGTATAGTAAGTGCTTCTATAAATCAGGTACCTGCTTGTGCCTGAAATAATGCATAGATGAACACTTGAGTTCCTCCTTCACCATAACAGCTTGAAAGTTGCCAAATGACCCTTAACAGTGTTTGGTGTGATTTAGAATCCATCTCAACAAACATCAAGTAAAAACATTGGTATTAGATGTATAAATTGTCATTGCTTTAGAGTTTGGATGCATATGAATTGACCATGACGCCTGCAAAGTGTAACACTCTAAAATTCTTTGTTCGCTGACAATGTCAGATTATAGTTTATTTAGTACCTATTGTTTCTTTTACAGTTTAAGTATGGTGAAGACAGTTTAGACGTTTCTAAAGTCGGTTTCCTGATTCCTAAACAATTCCCTTTCTTACTCTCAAATAAACATATCCTGAAGAAAAAACAGAAGAAAATGCCTCATGATGAAGCTGTGGAACATGACATTAGTAAGCTTGAGGAAAAGGTAGGTGATATATAAAATGTAACAATTTGTTTGTTACCTTGTCTTAGTTTTGTTAGCTTATCTTACTTTATGGGTTTTGTAAGTCTGTGGCCGAGAACTTATTGTAGCTGTTGGCTGAAATTCAGTCAAAAATATTGGATTCTTTCATTTTAGGAAGCTATCTAGCTGGCTTATAAAAGATCAGTGGTTCAACTTTTGAACACAATGATCACATGATAATTTGAAGGAATAATCACATGACAGTTTGAACCAGTGATCACATGAAAGTTTGAACCAATGATAACATGATGGTTTGAACCCATTGATCATAATATTATGATAGTTTGAATCAATTAACATATGATAGTAAAAAACCAATGATCACATGAAAGTTTGAACCAATGATCACATGCTAGACTGAACCCAATGATCACATGACTTTGATCTTACGATGTAGACACATTTATTATAAACATTTCCATGTTATATAGCTTTAATGGACTTGTCCATCATTAAGTCAACACTATTCCATCATTCAAAATATGTGCCGACTGATCTTAGTCTGCACTAGTTGCATGGGTAGAATCTGTTGCAGACTGAAGGCTAGGGTTAATTTATGACTTCTTGTAAGGGACTGTGAATGTTTATCAAATAATTTACTTTCAGGACCTTGTAATGGATATATCAGTTTAAAACAAACTATGTTTTATGGCAATTTGAACATCAAACTAGCATAATTTATTGACAAATGAGGTAATACTGTTCAGTCACTGCTTAAAACTTACCAGCCAGGATTCCTGAACTTTACCTGTCAGGATTCCTGAATTTGCCGCAGCCATTCATATTTGCTGATCTTATTTGTTTAGATAATTTTCTGGTAAAGGAAGGAATTAAGACCATGATATAGGACATTCTGAGGCTCTAGGACTATATAAGACACTTTAAGGAGGTTTATACTTCAAAAGATGATTCACTTACTTTGTTTATCCTGGCATCAAAATGGCCGACAAGAGTTGTCTACCTTGATTCAAAACTTTAAATGCATGTATTTTCATAAACATATACAAATACTTACCATTTTACATGTAAGAACAAAAAAAAGTAATCCTTTATTACCTAAGACATAAGTTTCTTTCCAAATATTTAGCTGGCTTGCTGTATTTCATAATAATGTTGATGACCGGTATGACCTCTAAGTTTGTCAGGAGGGAAAATTCAAATTCCTGACACTTGGAATCTTTTTATATCAATAGTTCGTTTTTCTAAGCTATAACCATGATTGTTTTTGGTCCAGATCTTAAGTGCATCAAGTTAAGCATGTAATTCAAGTGTTTACTGCATATTTTGTTATTTGTTAATTTTGTTTATTTACATTTTCTAAATTATTCCTGTCAATATGGCTGCCATTTTAAGAAATTCCTGTCTTTCCTGCCAGACTGCCAGGCCAAATGGAATGTTATGATTGGTCAATTGTGACAGTCCTGGCCATTTCAGAGTCTATATAAGTAGCCATGACAGGCTGTTTTCAGTTTGCATTTTGGCTTTAAATCCTGACAGTCGCGAAAACTAGTGACAAGAGCATTTTGTAATATTTTCCTGGAAACTTCTATTGTTAATCTAACAAATTTAGTGCTCTTCAGTGTTGAATAAAGAAATTGTGGAATTAACTTTTTAGCTCACCTGTCACAAAGTGACAGGGTGAGCTTTTGTGATCGCTTTTCGTCCAGCGTCCGTCCGTCCGTCGTCCGTCCGTAAACTTTTGCTTTAAATGACATCTCCTCATAAACCACTGAGCCAATTTCATCCAAACTTCACAGGAATGTTCCTTTGGTGGTCACCTTTAAAAATTGTTCAAAGAATTTAATTCCATGCAGAACTCTGGTTGCCATGGCAACCGAAAGAAAAATCTTTAAATATCTTCTTTTAAACAACCCTAAGAGCTAGAGCTTAGATATTTGGCATGAAACATCTTCTAGTAAGTGTCTACCAAGTTTGTTCAAATAAAAGCCCTGGGTCAAATTTGGCCCCGCCCCAGGGGGTCATTGATTTTCCCTATATGCATATAGTAAAAACTTAAAAAAATCTTCTTTTAAAGAACCCAAAGAGCTAGAGCTAAGATATTTGGCATGAAACATCTTCTAGTGAGTGTCTACCAAGTTTGTTCAAATAAAAGCCCTGGGGTCAAAATTGGCCCCGCCCCAGGGGGTCATTGATTTTCCCTATATGCATATAGTAAAAACTGAAAAATTCTTCTTTTAAAGAACCGTAAGAGCTAGAGCTCAGATATTAAGCATGAAACATCTTCTAGTGAATGTCTACCAAGTTTGTTCAAATAAAAGCCCTGGGGTCAAAATTGGCCCCGCCCCGGGGGGTCATTGATTTTCCCTGTATGCATATAGTAAAAACTTAAAAATCTTCTTTTAAAGAACTGGAAGAGCTAAAGCTTAGATATTAAGCATGAAACATCTTCTAGTGAATGTCTACCAAGTTTGTTCATATAAAAGCCCTGGGGTCAAAATTGGCCCCGCCCCAGGGGGTCATTGATTTTCCCTATATGCATATAGTAAAAACTTAAAAAATCTTCTTTTAAAGAACCCAAAGAAAGAGCTAGAGCTAAGATATTAAGCATGAAACATCTTCTAGTGAGTGTCTACCAAGTTTGTTCAAATTAATGCCTTGGGTCAAAATAGGCCCCGCCCCAGGGGGTCATTGATTTTCCCTATATGCATATAGTAAAAACTTAAAAAATCTTCTTTTAAAGAACCCAAAGAGCTAGAGCTAAGATATTATGCATGAAACATCTTCTAGTGAGTGTCTACCAAGTTTGTTCAAATTAAAGCCCTGGGGTCAAAATTGACCCCGCCCCAGGGGGTCATAGATTTTCCCTATATGCATATTGTAAAAACTTCAAAAATTTTCTTTTAAAGAACCCAAAGAGCTAGAGCTAAGATATTTAGCATGAAACATCTTCTAATGAGTGTCTACCAAGTTTGTTCAAATAAAAGCCCTGGGGTCAAAATTGGCCCCACCCCAGGGGGTCATTGATTTTCCCTATATGCATATAGTTAAAACTTAAAAAATCTTCTTTTAAAGAACTCAATAAGCTAGAGCTAAGATAAGTAGCATGAAACATGTTCTAATGGGTGTCTACCAAGTATGTTCAAATAAAAGCCCTGGGGTCAAAACTGGCCCCGCCCGGGGGGGGGGGGTGTCATTGATTTTCCTTATATGTGTATAGCAAAAACTTAAAAATCTTCTTTGAAAAAACCCAAATAGCTAGATTTTAGATATTAAGCATGAAACATCTTTAAGTAAATATCTACAAAGTTTGTTCAAATAAAAGCCCTGGGGTCAAAACTGGCCCTGCTCCAGGGATGTCATTGTTTTTAACTATATGTGTATAGTAAAAACTTTAAAAATCTTCTTTTAAAAAACCCAATGAGCTAGAACTTAGATGTTTAGCATGAAACATCTTCTTATGGGTGTCTACCAAGTCTGTTCAAATAAACAAATAAAAGCCCTTGGGTAAAAATTGGCCGGGGGGGGGGGGGGGGGGGCTATATACAGGTGAGCGACCTCAGGGCCATCATGGCCCTCTTGTTTATCAATTAAAGTTGTTATTTGAACAGTTTTTGACTTATGGGAGTTATGGAAACTAATAATTTACTTTGAATGTTTATCTTTTGATTTTCCTTCATTCAGATTCGTAAGTGGCAGAAAAAGAATAAACACCATGTTCATGGTCATGTGAGGCGGTCAGGATTTCTGCAGTTCTGTGAAGATGTTGGAAATGACCTTGACCTTACTGAGGTCATTGACAGTGCTCCTGGAAGGTCAGATAAAGATTGGCATCTGACTACGATGTGGAAAGACTTGAGTGATAAACAAAAGAGAAAGTAAGCCTGCTTTTAGAATTATACAAATTTTCTTTATGAGTATGAAAATATTTGCCTGATAAATTTGGAAATTGTTGGACTTACTTTCAAGAAATTGTTTATTTCTTATTTGTTTTGTAAAATGTGCTTGTCCTTTTTTTGTCCAGTAATCATGATGTTTTTGTCCATTACAGATATGAGAAGAAGAGTTTACGCTGTCCTGACCCAGTACTTTCCAAGTTTTTACCATACTATCCAAATGCATTACCAGAAAAGCTTGGAAATATTATCAGAAACTTTGCAAAGACAACTAGTGTAAGTTTAAACCTTAACCAGAAATACTTCAGAATTATAAACCTGACATAATTATCTGCTATATATTTATTTTTACACTAACTTATAAGGGACTGTAGCATTTATAAATATTTTGAAATAACAAAATTTGAGCATGATATATCTCTAAGTTTGTTTTTTTTGTTAACAGTATCTTACACTTTTATTATACATGCAATATGATATATGACTTGTATTTCAGAATGAGAGTCAGTTCCTAAAGTTGATGAACATGAAGCTACAACAATCTGTAATAGATCCAGGGGAAGCTGTTGGTCTGTTGTGTGCTCAGGTACTTTTAAAGGCCCATTGTCATAGATTTTTGAAGGAATTCCCCCAAACATTGTTTCAATTGAATAATTTGTTGAATTAAAAAAATTGTTTAATATATAATTAAAGATAGATAAGTATGGTAATTTTTACCAGTATGAACTCTGAGTTCAATTTTGATGATAGAAGTCGTGTATCTTCATTATACATTTGATATTTGTTGTTTTTTTCCCCTATATTACTGATAACTTTATATCTCAAACTTGGCGGGTGGGAGTGCGAGGATTGTAAAATGAAAGTTTTAAAAAGTAGGTCAGTTTTCTAACCCACTTGATACAAGACGTTTAGAGAAAACTCTTTTTGCAGAAAAATTCCAAGTTTCATGTGAAAGAATTTGCCTCAATATTATGCATATACATGTATACGATATCATTTCAATTATTTCAGTCTATTGGTGAACCCTCCACTCAGATGACCTTGAACACATTTCACTTCGCTGGTCGAGGTGAAATGAACGTGACCCTTGGTATCCCTCGGTTACGTGAAATCCTCATGGTAGGAAGTAAGACTATAAAAACTCCAGCATTAGATCTACCTGTGTTACCAGGGAATGATAACATGGCTAAAGTAAAACAGCTTCAGAGAAGGCTGACTAAAGTTAATCTTGATGAGGTATGAGAGGCTTTGAATCTTTTCTGAGGAAACTTTATTTATTTATATTCCTGCAGACTGTCACTAGTGTTTCCATATGTTTTATACATGCTGGAAATATTATTTGCCATGGGGATCTCAGATGAGTCATAATGACCTCATTTTAGGGTATTTAGAGAATGAACTGCTTCCTATTAGGATGATGTCATTTCACAGTTATGAATTAAGTTATGCCACTGTATAAAAATAGTTTTGAAGGTATGGCAGTAATTTCCATGACAAATTAACCTATTGAGTTAAACTATACAAAATATGGTAGATTATGTGAGAACAAAATAGTTGTTAATGTACATTTTAAATTAGATAAAATCTCTAATTTGCCATATAAAATTAAAAACGTTAATTATACCCCCAAAAACGAAGTTTGGGGGGTTATATAGGAGTCACCCGGTGGTCGGTTGGTTGGTCGGTCGGTCGGTCCAGACGTCCGTTGCATTTTCCTTGTCCGGAGCATAACTTGAAAACTGATGGTTGGAATTCAATAAAACTACATACAATGGTCAAGCACATTGAGAGGAAGTGCAGTGCACAAGAACCATAACTCTATCTTGACTAATTACAGAGTTATTGCCCTTTATTACTTTTCCTTGTCCGGGGCATAACTTGAAAACTACTGGTTGGAATTCAATACAACTTCATACAATTGTCAAACACAATAAGGGGAAGTGCAGTGCACAAGAACCATAACTCTATCTAATGTAATTACAGAGTTATTGCCCTTTGTTACTTTTCCATTGCTTTCTTTTGTCCGGACCATAACTTGAAGACTAATTGTTGGAATTCATTATAACTTCATACTATGGTCAAGCACATTGAGAGGAAGTGAAATGCACAAGAACCATAACTCTATCTTGACTAATTACAGAGTTATTGCCCTTTGTTACTTTTCTTTGTCCGGGGCATAACTTAAAAACTACTGGTTGGAATTAAAAACAACTTCATACAATTATCAAACACAATAAGGGGAAGTGCAGTGCACAAGAACCATAACTCTATCTAAAGTAATTACAGAGTTATTGCCCTTTGTTACTTTTCCGTTGCTTTCTTTTGTCCGGACCATAACTTGAAGACTAATTGTTGGAATTCATTATAACTTCATACAATGGTCAAGCACATTGAGAGGAAGTGCAGTGCACAAGAACCATAACTCTATCTTGATTAATTACAGAGTTATTGCCCTTTGTTACTTTTCCTTGTCCGGGGCATAACTTGAAAACTACTGGTTGGAATTAAAAACAACTTCATACAATTATCAAACACAATAAGGGGAAGTGCAGTGCACAAGAGCCATTACTCCATTTTGACAAAATACAGAGTTACTGCCCTTTGATACTTTTCCTTGTCCGGAGCATAACTTAAAACGTACTGGTTGGAATTCAAAACAACTTCATACAATGGTCAAGCACAATAAGAGGAAGTGCAGTGCACAAGAACTATAACTCCATCTTCAGTATTTATAGAGTTATTGCCCTTTGTTCCCTTTTCCTTGTCTTTCTGGACTTATTACAGCGTAATTCAATAAAACTTCATCAATGGCCAACCACATTGAAAACAAGAACCACAACTATCTTTAATTGCCACAACCATAACTCTATATTTCAATTCTTTTACAAGGTATTCTGTTACTAGTAACATCCTCATTTCTGAAGCAGTCTTGTGGGGGTATTAATCACATTTAGTGATAGTTCTAGTTTGAATTTGCTGTAGTTTTCGGCCTTCTTCATCGGCGTTTATTATACATACAAATATATTCAGACAAAACAAGGGAAGTGATGTAACATCATTGAGTGACGCATAGTTGAATAATAACTGAAGAAAGCTGAAGGGCCGAAAGCTAAGGCAAATTCAAATTAGCGTTTTTTTAATTTTACAAGTCAAATTATATATAGATAAAATTTATATTCATAGGTTATACAAAGCATTCAGGTCTGTGAATGGTTGGCCATAAAAGGAAGAATTAGATAGTAAGTTAAAACTAATGATAGTATATGTAAAATTAATTTTGTTTGGTATATTTCTTGGAGAGCAGAGAAAGTAAAACTCTTTTGCTTTCACAGTTTAGTTTCTTACTGTAATTCAGTTTCATTTTCAATTCTTTTCTTCTTCATTAGTTAAATTATTTTTAGCTCGACTTTTCAAAGTACACTATTGTACTCGGCCATGCATCAACATCATACTTTGGTTAAGTTTTTGCTTGCAAGTTGGTATCTCAAAACCTATGGAAGGGCATTATAGGAGGTCACTGCCAAAGGGCTATAACTCTAACATGGATTTTGACAGTGTTATGGCCATTTTAGAACTTTGAAAATTCTATATTATCCAGGCTCTTGTTTTTACTATCAAGCACTGAGAATTGTTGAGCATGTTGTTCTTCTGACAGCTCTTGTTGATCTGATATAAGTTATGAAGAAAACTGATGTTTAACTTAATGCAGTTTGTTATCAACTTGAAGCTACATGTATATATCTGTGATGAACAAGTTTCTATGGCCAAGTTGTATAGATCGCAGATTTTTAATACTTTCTTTTCCTTGCTGTTGGTTTAAAGCTGCATGCCTCCAGAATTGCCAAAATATTTCAAGAATATCAAACTTCAGAAACATGAACTAAGAAATTGAGAAAAGTAAAAAAAAAAATCAAAATATTTAAGTCATAATTTGCATGTTATACGCTAATTAAAGACTGATTTTGCAGTATTTATCACCATTTTTCTACTGCCTCAGTAATGACTATTTTTGCATAGTTTGACCTCATCTTGGTAATTTACATGTATTGTAAATGCCTTATACAATGTGTAAAATGCTTTCTTTGTTAACCTCACAATATTTTACTTTTCATTACATTTTCAAAATTTTTCATGAAAATTTGCATGAATTTGGAGGCATGCTGCTTTAAATCTGGCCAGATGCTTCTCATAGTTGGTCAGAGGTTCTAACCAGGGGCTGTCCATAATTGTTAAATACAAATTATTTGAATAAGCACTTTTATTCTAGAAGGCAGAGTTTCTTCAATTTTAAAAATGCTGAGTCTTACTTGGACCTTAATATGATGTTGGTGATGAAAGTAAATTTACCTATCATTTTCATGTGTTCAAGCCATTTCCACACAAGAATCGGAAATAACAATCCATTTATTTTTTACTTTCAGTCAACGAAGAAGAGTGTTTAGAATACGCTTAAATTTTCTACCAAGAGAGTGTTACAAAGAACGTTTTATAGTTGTTCCGAATAAGATATTAAAGTTTGTGGAGAAAACATACATTAAAAAAGTGGTACAACTGATAAGAGCCAAAATCAATGCTCAGAATAAGTAAGTACAGTGGTGACTTAATATAAGAACGATTTTAAAGCTTACCATGCTGGTATTGAAAGTGATTGTAAGTTGCCATCAGTTTAGATCCAGGCCACCTTCAATGATGTGCGGTCTGACCAGCCTCTATTTTGTTGGCAGCTAAAGTTTTGTATTTTGTTATTAAAATCCCTAAAACTATTATTAGAATCCCTTAAACTTTGAATGGACTGTTCCAAATTTAAGGTAGTCTTACTGTAACGTTTCCCGCCCAAATATTTTTAACATCTGCCAATATCGTAGGAAATCAGTACTTGAATTGTCGGAATGTTATTTTTTTTTCAAAATTTTGAGCTTAGATTATTTACAATCACTTATCCTTTATCTCTAGGTACTAAATTCTGGTTATTAATGGATATAAATTATTGAATACCGCAGATTGTGATAAATAATGTTCTGGAAAATGACTGCTTTATTAGGATATTGTCCGATGTTAGAACTTTTTGGCAGGAAAGCATTGCAGTAAGACTACCTGTACCATATTGTTGCAAACAATTAGCAGATAATGGGTTAAATGAACTGTTCAATATATGGCAAATCTGTGCAGTCCGACTTGATACTTTACTGTTTGTAATTTAATATTATTACATGTGTTTAGATATAGAAATACATCATGCAATGGGTAGTTATGAATTTAAAACATGTTTAATACACAAATTTGGTATGATAAGTTTGAATAATTAAAACAACTTGTAATAGTGTTACTTTCTTGCAATGTACAAGTGTTCAGACTGTTAATTGAATTTTTGAAGTGTTTAACCATAGATGAAAAGTTATTTTAATAACTTTTGTGTGGACAGATACAATTAAATGATTTCTTTGTATATATTTGCTTACAAATGAGAATTTCTTTCTTTGCAAGATGTCTAGGTAGCTAAAGTAATGGAACGCCAGTTGTTTTGAGATGCTTGTCTTTGACTGAAATAAATGACAAAAGAATATCAAAGTACACATGGTATTTTTCCATTAATAATAATGACTTGGACTTTGCTCCTTTTACAAAAAAAGTTCAATGTTACAAAATCAGCTATGCCTTATTTAACTGAAGGAAATTATTTTCACCTTTTCTTACCCATACAATTGTTTTAAACACTATGCTGTTATTTATACAGGTTGCTGTCAACAGGCACTCAGAAGCAAAAATATCAATCATCTGCCAAGGAATCGGAATCATCTAAAGCTAATACAAACATGGATGATGATGACGACGATGATGATGATGATGATGATAAAGACATGGACGCTGATGATGGAGATGACACAGCGAATAATCAGAAACAGAAAAAGAAAGAGGAACATGAGTATGAAGAAGACGAGAATAGTAGAGACTCGCTTGATAAAGATCAAGGTATTTGATATGTTGTTAATTAGGAATGTCATTTAAAGGAACTCTACTGAGGTCCAAAAGCATAATTACATAAATGTTTAGAATTCTTCCTTTGGACACATGAAAATTAAAATTCTTTTTGGGGATACAAGACATGGAAACATATGTAACATATAATAAAGAAATATACTAAGAAATAAATTGAAAATTGCTTTTTTCGTGGTCCTTTGTCTAATTTTAGTTAAAAGCATTTAAACACTATTCATGTTTTTGGTCATTTTGCATAATAAAAACGATTGTTCTTGAAAAATGAAATTAGCCATTGAACTGAAATTTTGCAAACAAATTATTAATCCAGACATACATCAAGTAATATACAAATCATGACCAAAATATTTCCAGTCCTGTTGTGTGTAGTCCCTTTAAAATCCCTTTTAATGATTTATTGTTTCTTGGGCAAATTGCAAACTTAAAGTGTATTGATATCATTATTTTTTATGTTTTACTTGTTTGTTCTTTTCTGTTTATTAAGTGAAACCTTGTGTAGGTGTGTGTTGATTGTTTCCATACTACAAAGTATAAGTTTTTGTTACATGTATTAAGAAATATTTAGTGTATTCAAATACTTCATAAAATAATGTTTCAATATTCAATATTTTATTAAATATAAAGCCTTTTGTAACCAAGTGATTTCTTTCTATTTCAAGACACATGGTTTAGAAAATGGGTCCATATCACTTTTCTACATAACTTTAAATTAAGATCCTGCAAAAGTTGTTTGGTATTATCATGTAAAAAACCTATTTAGTTTGTTTACCTATGATCATTGAATACTACATTGCTTAATTAGGCAGGTGGTTGGTACCAGCAAAAGCTTGAATGACGCTACAGTCAAACATGTGAGTAAAGACCAGCCATAAGAGCGGCCAAATATGGTCTTTATAAACAAGTGGTCTTTTTTAAAGAGATAACTCTTGTATATTTATCAATGAAGGTATGTCAAAGAGTGATCTTTATTAACAGAATGGTCTTTACTCAGGGGTGGCCATTAACACAGCTTTGACTGTATATGACTTTTTAACAATTGTAACATGTAGGGTATAATCATTACAAAAGAAAGAGGAAAATGTTTATATTTTCTTTATTTCTTGTAGAAGATGAGGATGTAGATATGGAAGATGAAATACCTGAAACAGAAGATATAAATGAAGAACTAATTGAGGAATATGAAGAGAGAGAAAAAGACAATCCAGAAAGTCGTATAAATGTGAGTCCATGTCCAGATTTTAACAGAAATAAGACAACATCAGTAGCTTCAATTATAAAGCATTTATTTCCATCTAACAGTTTGTTATGAAGACATTATGCATCTTGCTTGTAACAATTGTGCCAATGTCATACACTCTTAAAGGCCTCTTACGCCTCAGATATGCTATCATTTTTATTTCTCTCAAACTTTCTATTTTTGGTATCTCGTTACAGTTTCAAAAAATAAAAAAAAGCATAAGAAAAGACATATGCCACATAGATTTAACTATCTTTTACTCCTTTTGCTCTGTTGGCAATGGGTACAATCTAGTGAATGAGTATTTTGTATGGAAGTCAAAATACTACTTTGTTTACATTTTGCTCCCTTTTTCAATTGTTTAACATCTAATTTGATCTAAATTCATTATTAAAACATTATCAAACACATGTTTGACATTAATAAAGCATTACAAAGATATGGATTTCTGAAGCATAATTTACTTGTAATATATTGGATAATAAACACACTCAGTGATCACAATTATTTTGTTTGTTTGCTTCAAATCTGTCTACAAAGTCTTGCAAAAGTTTAAGTTCTATTAAACAGTTTTTATTTCATTCAGCCTGTATGTATTTATGTAACTTTAGCATATACTTTTAAGTACATCCTTTTGAGGTTTTTGACAGAATTTTACATTAAGATATTAATATGATTATAAGTTAATATGTTAATTTCAGGCTGTTTTACAATGTGCACCAGAGGTGGATCACTATAGATATGATATAAAGAAAAAACGTTGGTGTGAGGTCACAATTAGTGTAAGTCTATAATTAATAAAAGCATTATTTTATCCTTATCCAGCTAGCTTAGTGAAAATTGTATGTTCTATAGTTCTGTAGTGTCTAGGGGTGAAGTGTCTTGTTCCCATTCATTACAGGTTCTCAGTTATGTCTGGAATAATTGTAGCAGGAAAAGAGCTAGTTTAGACTATACAGTGTCAACATGACTTAAAATTCTTCAAAGGAAAACAAATCTTAGCAAAGTTTTATTGCTGTTTACACTGATTAGCAGATTAAGGTAGTGTTAGGTATATACAATTCTTACTAAGAAATTCATGATGAAAATATCAGCACTGGTAATGTTTTGATTGATCACATTAATTGTATGGTTTTAGTTGAGAGGTTATATAGCCTAAACAAATTGGTTGCTTGCATATATAACCCAAGTAGCTAGATTATGGTTATATTGCAAACAACTGTTTATATATATATGGCCATATAACCTGTCTAAAATCTTTATAACAAATTTATAATTAGGAAACTTAATTGTTTGTGTGAAAAAATGAAATTTATACTTAATAAATTGACAGCAGCCATGTATATAGTTTATATTAGCATCATGATTATCCAATGAAAAGCAACCTTACAACACACAATATTTTAATGAATAATATATGGTATCTAATGCTGCTATATATTACTTATTTGGGTAAGTTTGCAGCAATATGAAGAAATAATTGTTTTGTAGTGCCAGTAAAGGAGGAGAAATGTTAACCTGAAATGATAATAATATTCCAAAGTCATTTGTATGCTACATGCTATACATTGTGTATAATTGAGAGTGTTTTTCTTCTTCATCAATGGGGTATCAAGATAGTGATATAGCTTTTTCTCACACTTATTTGAGAGCATTATAGGAGGTCACTGTTTGAGGCCCATAACTCTAACATGGATTTTGACAGAATTATGGCCCTTTTGAACTTAGAAAATTCTACATTATCCAGGCTCTTGTTTTACAATCAAGCACTGAGAATAGTCGAGCACTCTGTCTTACTGACAGCTCTTGTTTTTTTCACAGTATCACTGTATGAGATATACAGATAATAATATTGCTTATATCTTTGTGAAAAAGTTTCTTAGATTAAGTGGTGTAAATGTAGTTGTATTATGTGTTGTTCTTTTTTCTTTTTCACAGTTTCCTTTACAAAACAGTAAGATAGATCTACTAGCATTGTTAGAATCTGACCTGAAGAAGCATGTTGTACATGAAGTGCCAGGAATATCTCGCTGTATCCTAGGTGAACAAGACGGGCCAAATGGTAAAGAGATGCATCTAAAAACAGAGGGCATCAATATGCATGTAAGGATATACATTATATTGGTTTATATATGTATATAAACTTATGAATTATAAATAATTTATAAACTTATAAATGTGAATTATTAGTCATTTATAAATTTAATATTATAAATGACTAATAATTCACATGATGAAAGGAAAGTTCTGTAAATACCCATTATTACATAAAAAAACCCAAAAAACTTCGCAATCTCAAAATTAAGAAAAGAAGACTAACTTTAATACATTTTTTTTTCAGAAAAAAAAATTATTATAATGATAATATTTATATTATTACAGGAGTTATACAGGAATGCAGATATTCTGGACATAAATCGTTTATACTGTAACAGTATACATGATATTGCTATGACATATGGTATTGAGGCTGCTAGTCGTGTTATCATAAAGGTATGAATGATTTTATTTTACCTCATTAGCTACAATAATGTAAAATGGTCTTATTTTTTGTACATGCTTCAAAAATAAATTATTTATTTGTTTATAACCTTCCTTCTGTAATGCAGCGGGTAATGCAGCTGGTTGGAAAATATAAATTTGCCACTACAAAAATTAAGAGTAAATAACTCATTTGCAGTGAAGGATAGACTTTTGTATGTAAAAAAAACTTTAGTGTTATGTAAATAGTCGATATATGCAGTGGCTTTCAGTGTGTCAGAAAGAAACTTTTCAATACTTAAAAAAGGAGGATATATAAATAAATAGTAAATAGTGAGCTATGTAAAAAATTCCAAATAAATATAAGTAGCCATGTAGCTCATAAGGCATTGTGGAGGAAATAACATAGTTATAGGGATAAAATGAAGCGCCTGCATATATAATCTTTATTATTATGCCCCCACTTCGAAGAAGAGGGGGTATATTGCTTTGCACTTGTCGGTCCGTCCGGTCCGTCGGTCCGTAGACCAAATGGTTTCCGAGTGATAACTAAAAAACCCTTAGGCCTAGGAACTTCAAACTTGGTATGGTGATTGGTCATGACCAGTAGATGACCCCTACTGATTTTGGGGTCAAGGGGTCAAAGGTCAAGGTCACATTGACCTTGTATGTTAAAACGGTTTCCGATCAATAACTAAAGAACGCTTAGGCCTAGGAACTTCAAACTTGGTATGGTGATTGGTCATGACCAGCAGATGACCCCTATTGATTTTGGGGTCAAAGGTCAAGGTCACATTGACCTTGTAGGTAAAAACGGTTTCCGATCAATAACTAAAGAACGCTTAGGCCTAGGAACTTCAAACTTGGTATGGTGATTGGTCATGACCAGCAGATGACCCCTATTGATTTTGGGGTCAAGGGGTCAAAGGTCAAGGTCACATTGACCTTGTAGGTAAAAACGGTTTCCGATCAATAACTAAAGAACGCTTAGGCCTAGGAACTTCAAACTTGGTATGGTGATTGGTCATGACCAGCAGATGACCCCTATTGATTTTGGGGTCAAGGGGTCAAAGGTCAAGGTCACATTGACCTTGTAGGTAAAAACGGTTTCCGGTCAATAACTAAAGAACCCTTAGGCCTAGGAACTTCAAACTTGGTATGATGATTGGTCATGACCAGTAGATGACCCCTATTGATTTTGGGGTCAAGGGGTCAATGTCATAGTGACCTTGTACTTAATGACTGTTTCTAACCAATAACTCAACAACTCAAGTTGCCTTGGTTGATATTTTTATGTGCTTTTGGTATACACATTTGAAGGTCTTATGTAATATAACAACTTGGCTGTCATTAATGAGGCCTATGTGATTCATAAAATTTATGTATATATTATTTGGTAAGATTTTTAATAACTTTAATTGCTGCACACAACCTATGGGGTCACAATAATTATTACCTTGTGACTAGTCATGACCAGTAGATATAGATAACCCTTATTAATTGCTTGTTCACTGGGTCAGAAGTCATGCATAATAACCTGATCACATGACAAATTGGCTGCCGATAGGGGGCATACATGTTTTACAAACATATCTTGTCTTAAAATGTGTTTGTAGCTTTGAGAAGTATATAATTTTATGTTGTAATTTTATATTCTATCAGGAGGTTCAAGCTGTGTTTGCGGCCTATGGTATCGAAGTTGACTACAGACATCTATCTCTCCTAGCGGACTACATGACCTTTGAAGGGTCATATAAACCATTTAACAGGATTGCCATGGAGACCAATCCATCTCCATTACAGAGAATGAGTTTTGAACAGACTATGAAGTGTTTAGTGGATTCTACTGTACAGAGTCGTGTAGACAGTCTTACTTCACCGTCGGCACAAATTGTGCTAGGTGCGAATGTTACAAGCGGCACCGGATCTTTAGACTTGATAACGCCCCTGACATTTTAAATGATGTGAATATATTAATGATTCTTGTTACATGCCTATGAATATCGGTTGCCACCTGTGTTCAGAAATAAATTTGAAGTTTTATCTTTTCATTGTTCTTTTCTGTAGTTAATACGTTTTTGAATTCTTTGAGGTTTCTTATTCTTGAAAAGAGTGCCCAAACTATAAAGATAGCATATGTGATGATTGATGGTCTAAAATGTTAAATTGACTTTCAAAAAGAAAACAAGGAGCGTTTTTATACCCCCGCACAACAAAGTTGTAAGGGGGGTATACTGGAATCAGCTTGTCCGGCCGTCCGTCGGTTTTTTCTTGTCCGCCCAATAACTTAAGATTCCTTTGACCCTTAGTCTTCATATTTGGCATGGAGGTTAGTCATGATTAGTAGATGACCCCTATTGATTTTGAGGTCACTAGGTCAAAGGTCAAGGTCACAGGGGACTTGACTTCAAAAAGCACGCCGCCCAATAACTTAAGATTCCTTTGACCTACAGTCTTCATATTTGGCATGGAGGTTAGTCATGATTAATAGACGACCCCTATTGATTTTGAGGTCACCAGGTTAAAGGTCAAGGTCACAGGGGCCTTGACTTCAAAAAGCTTGTCCGCCCAATAACTTAAGATTCCTTGACCTACAGTCTTCATATTTGGCATGGAGGTTAGTCATGATTAGTAGATGACCCCTATTGATTTTGAGGTCACCAGGTTAAAAGTCAAGGTCACACGGGCCTTGACTTCAAAAAGCTTGTCCGCCCAATAACTTAAGATTCCTTTGACCTACAGTCTTCATATTTGGCATGGAGGTTAGTCATGATTAGTAGATGACCCCTATTGATTTTGAGGTCAAAGGTCAAGGTCACAGGGGCCTTGACTTCAAAAAGCTTGTCCGCCCAATAACTTAAGATTCCTTTGACCCTTAGTCTTCATATTTGGCATGGAGGTTAGTCATGATTAGTAGATGACCCCTATTGATTTTGAGGTCACCAGGTCAAAGGTCAAGGTCACAGGGGCCTTGACTTCAAAAAGCTTGTCCGCCCAATAACTTAAGATTCCTTTGATCCATAGTCTTCATATTTGGCATGGAGGTTAGTCATGATTAGTAGATGACCCCTATTGACTTTGAGGTCACCAGGTCAAAGGTCAAGGTCACAGGGGCCTTGACTTCAAAAAGCTTGTCCGCCCTGTAACTTAAGATAACCTTGACCCACAGTCTTCATATTTGGCATGGAGGTTAGTCATGATTAGTAGATGACCCCTATTGATTTTGAGGTCACCAGGTCAAAGGTCAAGGTCACAGGGGCCTTGACTTCAAAAACCTGGCCGCCCAATAACTTAAGATTCCTTTGACCCACAGTCTTCATATTTGGAATGGAGGTTAGTCATGATTAGTAGATGACCCCTATTGATTTTGAGGTCACCAGGTCAAAGGTCACAGGGACTTTGACTTCAAAAAGTTTGTTTGCCCAATAACTTTAGATTCCTTTGACCCACAGTCTTCATATTTGGCATGGATGTTGATCATGATTAGAAGATGACCCCTTTTGATTTTGAGGTCACTGGATCAAAGGTCAAGGTCATAGGGACTCTGACTTCAAAAAGTTTGTCCACCCATTAACTTAAGATTCCTTTGACCCACAGTCTTCATATTTGGCATGGATGTTGATCATGACTATAAGGTGACCCCTATTGCTTTTGAGGTCACTGGGTCAAAGGTCAAGGTCACAGGGACCTTGACAAAAAAAGCAAGCTTTTCTTCTCAAATGCTAAAGAATGTCCTGTCCGCAATGTATTGATTTTGACATTTTCACATTTGAAGCATGTAGAATACATAACTTAGCAATGCACTGGCTTAGTAACCTCAGATTTGGCAGGGAGGTTGTCCTTGAGCTCTAAATGGCCACTGTTGATTCTGACAAAGTGGTATGCGGGGGTATTCACGCCATGATAGTGGCAGTTCTAGTTTGTTCTGAGGAAACTGCCTTTCAAGAAGAACAAATCTTGATTCAGTGTGAGTTCAGTCCGAGTTGTTATGCACTTAGAATAGAGTCTTAAAACATCAATAATTTTGATTGGTCTTAACTTCGTGGATTAAATGTTTGGTCATAAAATATTATCACAAACAAATGGTGATTCTTTACCATGGACCAATGAGTGGGTCTTCAGTAAATTTTTTATAAACCAATGGGTGGGTTTTAAAACTTGAGAACAAATGGATGGAAATAATTAACATTTTCACAAACCTGTGGCAGTGTTGTTAAACATGGACCAATAGGAGATCTTAAAAGAACGCCACTGAGGTCTAAAATTGTTTAAACTTGAAATGTGGTAGATTGCATAGATCATCTGGGACTTTTAAAATGGAACTATATGAAAAAGAAAATAATGAAAGAAGAAGAATTAAATTGATATTTAGTGTGAATTTAAGGTCAGTGAGTTAAAAGCATTGACAGGCTTTTCATTTTAGGTCATTTTGAACAATACAAATAATGATTAAGGATAAAATGGAGTGAGTGAAAGCTTGGCAATTTTGCACACAATTTATTGGTCTTGACGTACAATGGATGTTATAAAAATCTATAAAAAATATTTTTCGCCTCGTCCTGTGAAAGAACTCAGTGCAGTCTGATACAGAACGTGAACGATAATAATAATTATTAACATCTTATGAACCATTGGGTTACCCTTAAATATCGCTCGTGAATAGATGCATCATCTTTTGAGTGCAGAAGCTAAATGTTTCAGCTGTGATATTAAGTTTTATGCATTTTACATGGAGCTTTCACCAAACCTAAGAAAAATGGTCTATGTGGGCGAAAAGGATTTTTTTTTTTTTGCATTTGCATGAGATTGAAGGCTTGAAATGTTTCCTACAGAGATTCATATTACAGAATGTATTTCCACGCTACCTTTATAAACAAAAATATTTATAAATCCAAGCTGAAGCCCCCCCCCCCCCCCCCCCCCCCGTTGAAGAAGAGGAGGTATATTGTTTTGCTTATGTCGGTTGGTCTGACAGACAGGTTGGTCCGTCTTTCTGTCGGTAGACCACATGGTTACCGCTGATTATCTTAAAAACTATCACAAAGTCTTGCGAAGGAACAATAATTAAGAAATATGTATTAATATTAATAATTAAGGAAGTTAAACCTAGAATGATATTAGCCACTTCCTTACATATTTGTTACAATACCTGTAGCATGAGGAATGATTTGCTATAGCGTTGCATAAATGTTTTGTAGAGTCGTGCACGCGTAATTTCTTTTATCATGACTAAAGCTAATTGTTAGAACTTCCATTTTACAGTATATGGCAACATAATAGAAATGTTACATTTTATTACATTAAAAGTATATCTGTACGTTTCCACCGATTGAAAATACAAGTACAGGTACATGATTTAAAATTGCATTAAAGATAAAAAAAAAAACGTTTCAGGTTTATTAAGGATATGCTATGCTCACCTTTGAGTAAAATAATTTTATCACAGAATTGAGTAAAATAATTTTATCACAGAAATTTATAGAAATCTCTGAATTCTTAATGGATATGTCTTACTTGAATAAAAGAATGCTATGCATGGGAAGCTGCATTCCCTATTACAGGTTAAGTAAAATTGTTTATTTCTTTAACAAAACTGCAAGTTTGTTTTTGATGACTATATATTCGTAATGTGGCCTCCAATAGGATGCTTTGAGTTTAAAACATAACGTATCTACTTTGTGCGAAGTCGAAACATGTTGATTTTATATTACAAAGAAACAATGAAGCAAAATTCAATATTTTCAAATATCAAATTTGAGTATAATATATCTTTAAGTATTCTCATTACAAAATTGAAGCAGCCACACTGAAGCCCAAAAACCTTAAATCATAAAATTAAAAAAAAATATTCCGTATTAACTGGGACTTATAACGGAAACAATATGAAATAGATGATAAACAAGAAGTATCATTAAAAAAAGATACACGGCCAAACTAAAACAGGTTTATTTGCATATCATGGAAATAGTATCATAAAGATTATGATATTGAGCATATTTTTTAATTTTACGCTAAAATGTTTAAAATATTAAAGTCATATGCAAATATTGGCACATACGAAGTATTTAAAAAAGAAACAAAATGTAAAGTATGATGTAAATCCTTTTAAAGTAAAGAAGTCAATATATATGATCTACAAACAAAACAGTTGATTTAATTTCGTACTCAATTTTTTTTCGTCTTAGTTCATTTTACCGTTATGCAATTCTTTTAATTCTTTTATTGTGAATGTCGTTTTAGCTCAAAGAAAAACATTTAAGTAATTGAAAATTTTATTAGAAAGTTTATAAATGACAACCTTTCGTTGATACGAAATACCCGAATCAACAGATTTGCAACACCTTTGGAAATAACGAAAGAATTTAAAGACTTTGTCCTTTCCAAAGTAAAAACATTAAATTCCAACTAATTAAAAATGAATATGTGAATATAAAAGTTATAACAAATGAAAGTCATAAAAATGACCGGATTGTTTCAAGTTATGTAATTTTGAATAAACTATTAAAATTATGGCAAATTACACGTTCATTACACTTCAATAATCGCTCCCCGACTATTTCTTAAATTCACAACACTTATATTTATCATTTACGTAAATATACAACCAGCGCATGCCCATTGCGAACTATATCATATATTACTTCCTTAATTGGAAAAGGAAACTATTTGGGAACGTTTTAAGCAGTTATGACGAGAAATCGCTTTTAATGAGGTATTTTCTTTTTAATTAGGGTTGATTGTTTGATAAATTGATGGATTTTAATAATAATATATTAACAGAAATATATAGAATTATAATAAAAGTAACATTTTATTAACCAGAAGCGTCTTTACAACGGCCATAGCATAATAAAAACGTAATCGCGAGGGTAGAACATTTAAATAAATCGGTTTAATTCGAATAAGATTAAATCAAATGTTTGAATATTTCATGAATTTGTTTATGTGCTGGAAGGGACAGATCTAGAGCTATAACAGTATTCATCCTTTAGGCAAAAATTCCCAGGTGAAATAATTATGAAGAAGAATTTCTTGATACCATCGTGTTCATGAATAGACCAAGCCTTTTAAGACCCGGCTGTATTATGTGCCTGATTGATAAGCTAAACACTTCAAAGTAACGATAAATAAATTAGGTTATTTCAAGATAAGTATATCAATACTTAATCATGCCATAACTATCTCAAAATCCCTGAAATGAATAAGAGCAATTTCAAATTCAAAACCGGGACAAGATTTATTTTTACATATAGCTAGCGACTGTATGTAGATACATATACTTTTGCGGTTTGATCAATTGACCTTTTCGAAAACCTAGCTAAACACCGTTTTCCGGTACGTTACCGTTTTAGCTCTGGGGAATTACACCAAATGAAGTACATAACACAGTTACGTGATATTTCTATTTTTCTATCATTATTTAACCGTTTAAGGTAAAAAAATGATGTTTTTGAAAATTATCAATATTTCTTTAATATCTATTGCAAATTATTAAAAAAAAATTTATCTATAATGAAAATCAATAAAATTCAAACAGACGTAGTGGAATCTTCCATAATAAATAAGGTCATTTTCTGCGTAAACTTGTGTATTTACTTTATTTTTTGTATGGAATTATTCATATTATAATAACGTTTATCTTTGGCATACAGTGGCGATTTATCCAATCATTCCTTTTGTTTTGATAAAAAAAAATAATATACTTCCTTACCAAGAAGTGCAAGGTAGAATTAAAAACCTATTGTGAATATTGGAAATGATATTTTAAAATTCCTATATAAGTCGTACTTTTCTTTTCTGAAAATCGAAGGAAATATAAACATATTTTTGAACAAATAGGAAATGTACATTGAATAAATTTTAAAACATATTTTTAAATTGTTTCAGTGAATGCAGTAACCTATCCGGTAAAATTGAAGATTGATGTGAAAATGGCAAGTGCGAAATCGAAAGTAAGAACAATCTAGAAAATTCTACTATGTACATTTGTATGTTATCAAAATTGTGTCGGGTGAATACCATTATGTATGTTTTTCTACTATTCCAGCACTGAAAAACAAAACTGTACTTAACATAGGATGTTTTACCTTGTATTGTGATTGCTTTGATAATGGGTTAACTGTCAGATCATGTGATGCAAACAAAACATTACATTTTAACTATTAAAAGCACATTATGTCTCAGACATTCATATTCTATTTTATTCTTTAGAAATGTCAAACATGTGATTAATAATGTTTTAATAATGGATTAAGAAAAAATAATATCTGTCATATGTTGCGGTTCGGACCGGAATATCCGTCCTGAGGGGACCCGCCCATTGGGCGGTAACGATGCTTGCCGAGTTACCGCCCAATGGGCGGGTTGCCGAGGGACGGATATTCCGATCCGAAACGCAAACATATGTCAGATATTTTTTCTTGCATATTCTGCCATATTATTTCATATTCAAAATGGTTTCAAGGAAATTAAAGTCATTTCATCCAGAACTATTTTCTTACAATATTATAGCGTATGAACTTACAACTGAAATAACAACGGCGAAATGACGTCATCCTAAGCACATATTTCCCTTCTAAAACGACGTCATTTTAACGCGGTTCATTCATAAAGTGCGCTAAAATGACGCAATCTCCTACGCAGTGATCTCCCCTTATCAGTACAGCCTCGTTAACGCCCAATGGGCGGGTCCCCTCGGGACGGATATTCCGGTCCGAACCGCAACATATGACAGATATTATTATTCTTGCATATCAGACAGGATTATCTATCGTTTACACCGGTGCTAGAAAATAATATCTGTCATATGTTGCGGTTCGGACATTGGGCGGTAACGAGGCTTGCCGAGTTACCGCCCATGGGCGGGTTCCCGAGGGACGGATATTCCGATCCGAACCGCAAACATATGTTAGATATTTTTTCTTGCATATTCTGCCATATTATTTATGATATATGACTTAGTAACTCGCGGCCACGACTTAGCTATCTCGTGGCCACGACTTAATAAATCGTGGCCACGACATAGTATCTCGTTGCCACGAGATAAATAAAAACACACACATGTCACCTTTGTGCCACCGTAGAATCCCGTACCATGGAAGTACTTTTTAGCTGAAATTAATGCTTGCAAAAACAACAACAACAACAATTAAAAACCATGTTTCTATTTAAAATTGCAGAGAACTAAAAACGAAAAGAAAAAGTTGATGGTTGCAGCCATTGATTTTGGAACCACATTTTCTGGCTGGGCTTTTTCCTTTGACCATGATTATAAATCGGATCCAACAAAAATATCCTGCAAACAGTGGTAGGTAAACAACAACAACAATAACATATCACTTGCGATTTTGCGACTCTATAAAAATGGAATTGCACGGCCGTGCTATATTATGACGTGACCTCATTTGCGTTATGCATCATAGTGTAAAGACGCGCTAAATGTTATCGTTACATTATAGGCGCGTCAATAAATAGAGGATATTTGTTGAGTTCAGTGTAAGATCGAAATGTATTTCACCGAGTGAGCACCAAAAGGTATATTTCACGAGTGGCGCAGCCACGAGTGAAATATAAACTTTTGGTGTTCACAAGGTGAAATATATTTCGATCTTACACTAAACTAAACAAATTTTCTTTTTATTACATACAAGAAACGTTTTAAAAAGACATTAAACCTAATACTGAATGAAAAGTGCGCCAAATGATAATACAACGTGACGTCATTTACGACGTCACGTCATTAAGTTGGTACCCAGTACTGTGCACGCTGGTATTTCACTGAAACAACGTAAGGGGCTTAAATTCAAAACAGTGAAATTACCATAGTGGTAATTTCACTGTTTCAAACAGTGAAATTACCAGTTTTATATCACTGATATATTTCTATAAACCACCGAAAAGCATGTAATAAAAATGATTCTTTTGCACTTTAAACAATCTTCATTATGAATATGTGCTAAATAGAATATTATATCCGTGTAGGTTCATTACTGAATTAAGTGAACTCGATGAATAAAATAATAGTTTGCTGCATTTATTCAAATAGTTCAATAAATTTAGTATTGAACCTACACTCTTTTAATATCATCTATATAGACAAGAACCATTTAGCATCCCTCGATTATGATCATTTTGGTATGTACAATTCAGTAATTATAAAGTATTGATATTCTGTTTGTTTTTAAACTAATTGGTGCCCCATTTATATTTACTATTGAAATTTGTAACCGATTATTTCTAGTATCTTTACTTGCACATTTAAACCCTACACTACTTCACATCGATTTAATATTTCAATCTATCACTTCTTTATTCAACTCTAATAGTTTTCAGCAGTTTTTCATTACAGTTTTTTTTTCATTCACATCTCTTAGTATAATATTGCGATAGCTCAGGATGAAAAAGAAAATAAGGTTTGACAATATTTTTCTATTTCTTGTTAAAGATTGAATGCTGTTCAACCTGTTGCTTTTAGGCATTAGTGTTATTTAGCCTAATACTAGGCGTATCATGGTTAGAAAAATGCTAACCGTTTTAACGGCGACGTAATAACCGTGGTAAAACGTTTAACCGACCGTACTAACAAAATCCATAGATTTTCAACATTAACTTTGTTTCTTTATGACAAGATATGCCATTTTGTTCAGATTTCGATGTACTCAAAATGATTACAGCACCTATCCGAATATGGAGCTAGGGTCATACCGTATTCGATCAGATCTGAAAAAAATAATACATTGTTGTATACAACTAATATACAAACAATTGTCATATCTTGTCATAAAAAACTAAGGTAATATTTAGAATCAATTTAAAAACTTTTCCGTTTCTTAGTCAAACATTACCGGTTATTGAATTTTCTAACCGATTTTCAGGTAAAAACCGACCGTACCCATTTAAACGGATAAACGTGACACCCCTATCTAATACCATTATCCACTACGAGCAAATACAATCAAAACGAATCTGCAATATTTACTTAAACGTATTTACAATTGCTTTATTTGATTCCGGGATCTTTCAGGTTCCAGCAAATCAAAGTATGTTGTGATATACACAAGTTTTTCTAAATTACTTTGGAATGTTCACGGTATTCCGATAAGAACAACTGAAGACAATACTGGTATATTAGCCAATGAAAACTTTTCACCATCTTTACCAAATACCATTCATGTGTCATTCTCCATAATAGGAACAGTGGAAAGAATATTTCTTTGAAAGCACCGACAACAGTTCTGATAAAACCAGATGGACACACACTGGAAGCGTTTGGTTACGAGGCAGAGGACAGGTACGCGGAATTAGCGGACGTTGGGGAACATAAAACATACTACTTTTTCCAACGCTTCAAAATGATGCTCTTTGACAACAAGGTGATAAAACAAAAAGATATTTTACTCCTACCTTGATAGTGAGGATAACTATGTCAAAGTCATAGAATTGTTTGTAATAGTGAAGTGGTCAGTACTAAGAATTACATACATACTGAATGCAATAAGCCTTTTTTAAAGGATATGTAAACATTATAATTATCTAACTTAAGATAATCATAATTGATTCCAGATCATTACTATACGTTACATTGGTCTAGACTGTGTTACGATCTATCATCGATAAAATATGGTAATTAATGGAGTTAAACATTTTATATATTATACAACGGGTTTCACACTAGAACCTGTCGGTTGATTAATTGATATTAATATTTATTAACTTGTGCAGTGATAGGAGTGTTTTTCCTATTGCAATATCGAAATCTTAGCCTTTTAAGAAATTATATAATTGTTTGTTTCCATGTTTTCATGTTTTTATTTTTGTGGCTGCTCGTTTTATCCGATTTTGCATCATTGTTTAAGTATGTATGTCGTACCTACGCAATTGAAACGTAATCTTCAAATAAATTTTGCAATTTGAATATACATTTTGTAACATATTCTGTAAATTCAATCGACTGCCGAAAATTGTAGCATTCATTAGTCATTTTAACATGTGAAAATAAATATAACTGGCTAAAATATTTTGCAGAATCTAACCAGAAATGAGGAGCTTGAAGACGACAAAGGTAAACGTCTACCCGCTAAACGTGTATTTGCTATGGTGATTAGATATCTCAAAGACGATTTGCTGAAAGAATCTGAGAAGAAACTTGCTGGAGGACTTAAAGAGGAAGAAATACAGTGGGTGTTAACTGTGCCTGCAATATGGACCCCACCAGCTAAACAGTTTATGAGAGAATGTGCTATTGAAGTAAATACATATTTTTTTCTTTAGAAATCAGTAAATCATTGAAAATAAATTGATTTCTATAAAAACAGGAAAAGTTTTCAGAGAACAGATTTTTTAAACTTTAGCGAGAACAATGATTTTTAATCTAACAGTCAAAATTTAAGAACAAAGTCGCTTTCCGGTTGTGCAAGCTGACGTGCACATTAATGGGAACGGAGCTTGCTAAATGTGATTACATTCACTTGTTAATAAAATATTAATTAATATTGTTTAAACCATTCCTATTTCATTAATTATTCAATTTACTTCAGTTGAGTTTGTTTCCATTACAAAAACAAAACCAAAACAAAGGTAGAAAGCAAATATGTGAAAAAGAAGTTACACAACAATTAAGAGGCGAAAACATGACACATGACATGTGTCGTATATTTGTTTGTATTCATTCGTTGTTTCGTTTATTGTCCATTTCGAAAATGCGATAACACGAAGAAACGTCAAATGTATATTTGTGCTTTCGAAGTTTCGTGGCAAAATGCGTCATGGAGTAAATCAACCACCATATTTGAGTCAGATAAGGATAAGATTAATGATTAGTACTAAAGACGATATGTTAATATTTTACAGGGTGGTATACAGTCACAACATCTTATGATAGCTCTGGAGCCAGAGGCAGCTTCTTTATATTGTAAATACCTAACAATACAGAAACAGAAAGATGGGACAGCAGATTCAGAAGTACTATCTTCATTCGAACCTGGCGCGAGGTATATGGTTGTCGACGCTGGAGGTAACTATGTGTAGCTAAAAAGCTACATTCCGTTGGCAATTATCATTAAATGTATTGTAGTTTTACGCTGATATATATAATTCATGCAATAATATAATTGCATGATGCTTTTTAGTTACGATGACATATGCAATAATATGTTTTAATTTAGTTTTTCTCATTTATTTACTAAATTCACATAAACGTAAAGCTTTCATTATTTTCTATGTAGATTTATGGCAGCTGTCACTAACATGTACTAGATAATTTAATAACTGCATGCGTGTGACGTTTCATGTATTGTGCATAAGTCCTTTCAATATTCATTTGTTTTTACCTAATTAAGGTACAAAATTTTAATTGATATTTATATTTAGGTGGGACGATTGACATTATAGTTCATGAAGTGTGCCCTGATGGAACATTGGAGGAGATATATCAAGCTAATGGTGGAAATTGGGGTGGTACAATGGTTGATAAAGCTTTTCAAGATTTTTTAACTTCAATTGTTGGAAAAGATGTCATGAAGAGATTTCAAGACGACCATAAGGATGATTTCCTTGACCTTCAAAGAGAGTTTGAAGTGAAGAAAAGGTCTATCAAACCAGATCTTAGTTCAAAAGTAAAACTTAAAATACCCGTTTCGCTGTCTGCTATTTACATAGATTTATACTCGAAAAGCGTGATGAATGGTATTGAAAATGATAAAGAACTGAACGGAAAGGTAACCTTCATGGCGGATAAGGTTTTGTTCGATTGTAGTTTGTTTAAAAAACTTTTCAGCTTAACAACTGATCATCTGATTGAACATTTAGGAAAAATTCTGCAAGAAAAAGCGACAGCAAATACGAACACAATTTTAATGGTCGGTGGTTTTTCAGAGTCTCCAATGTTGTTTGAAGCGGTGAAGACAACGTTTAAAGAGAAAACCGTATTATTACCAGAAGATGCCGGTCTCGCTGTACTGAAAGGTGCCGTTATTTTTGGACATGCCAGAAAAGATATCAATACCAGAATTAGTCAGTATACATATGGATTTAAAATGTATTCTATTTACGAACCAATGATACACCCAGAAGAAAAAGTTATTGTTCTAGACGACGGCATAAAAAGAGTTCGTGGTTGCTTTACAAAACTAATAGATATTGGACAGAAAATGTCATTTAATGAAATTTCAAGGAAAAGTTGTGCACGTCCAAACAATAAGGGAACAAGTTATGGGCTTAAGCTGTTTGCATCACAAAGAGCAAATCCTGTATTTGTATATGAACCTGATTGCTTTAAAATCGGGGAGATTGTCGTTGACTGCATAGATGATAAGGGGAATGTTGGAAACACTACAATTCAGCTTATGTTTGGCGGCACAGAATTTGAGGTACAAGCTATTCTTGATTCCACTGGTAAAAAAACGACAGCCACATTTTCTTTTCTCGATTAGCCATATATTGAAAGCAATTTAAAGGCTTGTTTAAAAATAGAATATACAACACTGAAGTGTAAATGACCAATATGATAACATTTTTTTTGGTGTTCATACTGTTGGTATTTTTTGCATTGGAACAATAATTAAACCGTGTATTACATATGCAGTTATGTAGACATTAATAATATTATTGCAGTATATTGCGCAGTAGCTCATAAAGATAAAGGTCACACATTGAAATGAATGATATTCAAATGAAAATAAAACAGATATGTAGCCTACTATTTTGTCTATTTCATAATGTTGTCATCGAAAGAAATATTTAGAAATTATTTAGTACAAATAATCACAAAGATAAGAAAGTTTGCCGGGCAAACATCAAGTTAAATAGTTCAGACTATATTTCGTGTCCTGTCAACTATTTTGTCTTTCTTATAACTTATGTAGCACTCCACAGTTAATTTCAAGTTCCTGCCGTCAATGTCCTACAAGCAATACGTCTAATAATTCTGATACCAAACTACACAACCTGGGAAAAGAAAACACATTTTGTTGAGAACATATATGACATAAGATTGCAAATCTACAAAGAAATTATCCCACCTGCAATAGGCAGGCAGTCAAAAAAGTTGCAATTCATTCCGTTGAAGCCCAAAATCTACAGTGGCCCGAGACCCAAAACAACACATTCCGTCCCTCCTCTGGCAAAAAATATCTGCAAATATACAGGCTAAAGGAACACCGTCTCTGCTTTAGCAACTCCCTATACATGCAAAATATCACAAAGAAACAAGTCCTCAACCTTGTAGATTTTTCGCTACTGCTAAAAGTTTGTACCCCCTGTAAAATGACTTCTTTTTCCCGTGCATGCTGTTTAAAAGCAATGTTTACAAAAAATGGCGGCCTTGACATATATAATCAACAGCATGTGATTTCTGGCCATGTTTTCGAATTTGCCAGTGATCATATTAGATGTCACAAAAACAAATTTCATGCTGAAAATGCATTTTAAAGAAACCAGTCATTTAAATCCAGAATATTCACTATATCCAAGAAATCCTCCCTGGCCATTCGAAGCTGGGGCTTACATTACTGTGGGGTGCTACCTTAACACAAATGTTCCCAAGCGAAAAATCCAATTCCGTAGTTAAAATGTCAAGGTAACAGAAAGAGGTCAAGGACCGAAGTTTCAGGCGGTCAATAACTTAAACATTTCTATATTTATTTTGAAATTACTTAACCTTTATACAGATGTTCACCATCTTAAGCGAAAGCTCCAGGTCCATCTTCATCTTTAATAATAAGATAATTTAAAATATCATTTTACCCTTGTCATTTATTTTTGAAAATCATAAAGTTAAATTTTATACTATTCAGAAACAACATTTTTAGCTCGACTTTTCTATGAAAAGGGGAGCTATCCTACTCGCCCCGGCGTCGGCGTCGGCGTCGGCGTCGGCGTCGGCGTTGGCGTCACACCTTGGTTAAGTTTTTCGTACCACCCCACTTTATTTCAGAAGTATTACAAGTATGGCTTTGAAACTTACCATACTTGTTCACCATCATAACCTCCATCTACAGACAAGAGTTACATAACTCTGTCAAGGTTTTTGACAGAATTATGGCCCTTTTTTGACTTAGAAAGTGTATTGAGCTTGGTTAAGTTTTTTGTACCACCTCACTTTATTTCAAAACCATTGGAGGTATTGCTTTGAAACTGACCATACTTGTTTACCATCACGACCTTCATCAACAGACAAGAGGACATAACTCTGTCAAGGTTTTTGACAGAATTATGCCCCTTTTTGACTTAGAAAATACATTGAATATGGGTAAAATCCACTTATTGCCTTAACCCTTTGAGATATTGCTTTGAAACTTTTAATGCTATTTCACATCATTACCCCCATCTGTACGCAAGAGAAGGTAACTCTGTCAAGGATTTGTTTTAAAAATTAAGGCCTTTTATCGACTTAGAATCTTGGTTAAGTTTTTAGTACCAGTCCACTTTTTGACTGAACTGTTTGAGATATTAATTTGAAAGTTGGAATACTTGTTTACAATCATGATTCCCAAATTTATTTAAGGCTCAACTCAGTTTTTTTTTCTTTCTTACCAGCCCTCTTTTGACTTAAACATTTCAAACTTTGCTGCAGTGTTCAAGGGTATCACACAATTCAGTAAAATAATTCTTCACTAAATATCTTAATGCTCATGGCCATTGTTCACTTTAAAAATACAGAGATTCTTGTATTGCCTTTTACTGCAAAAACTTTTTTTATTGGCAAGCAATAAAAAAGTCGAGCGCGCTGTCTTACGGACAGCTCTTGTTTTCTCTTTACTGAGCATAAATGTTGTTCTTTCAAGCCATTATAAGCCTTTTAATATATGAATGAATCTTACTATGTAATTTTATTCATGGCGTTTGTTGCAAGCATGCGACCCTCATACACATTTTCCTTCAACGTTGTAAACACAAGAAAATCCAGTCTGATAATGCTAGAAATACTTGTATGAACATAATGTTGTCATTAACAAATTTTTACCAAAATGTGTTTGTAAGTTTTTAAATTATATGGACACCAGCCTCTGTAAAATAAAAATAAAGCAAAATAAGGCAACATGTAATTGGAGAATACTACTTTTAAAGCCTGCTGATACATTTTGGTCTGTACATATACAATTGGCATACTTCATACGGATTTGTTAGATTTTTATATGTCGTGACATTGATGATTATGCCAGCAAGAAAATGATTAAGATAACATTTCACCAGTCTAATTATGTGATACTGAATTATGATATTGTAAATCTTTTTCTCAAATACCTTTAATGATTTGTCAAATGACGTTACATCGTGTCTTGAATTAGTCATACTCATACAACGAGGGATATCAAGTCAACAAATTGGCTTGTTTGTTTATGTTTTATTTGCACCTCGTTTACTCAAGCAGAATGATTGTTGTTCAGATACCATGCTATTATGACTTAATAATGGCTTTCAAATTGCTGATATAGTAAGTGTACCCCATTGCTGTTATTGTTATTGTATCCATTAGCTGTTATTGTAATTGTATCCCATTGCTGTTATTGTAAGTGTATCGTATTGCTGTTATTGTAAGTGTATCCCATTGTTGTTATTGTATCCAATTGTTGTCATTGTAAGTGTTTCCTATCGCTCTTATTGAAAATGTATCCCATCGCTGTTATTGTTAGTGTTTCCCATTGCTGTTATTGTTAGTGTATCCCATTGCTGTTATTGTTAGTGTATCCCATTGCTGTTATTGTTAGTGTATCCCATTGCTGTTATTGTTAGTGTATCCCATTGCTGTTATTGTTAGTGTTTCCCATTGCTGTTATTGTTAGTGTATCCCATTGCTGTTATTGTTAGTGTATCCCATTGCTGTTATTGTTAGTGTATCCCATTGCTGTTATTGTTAGTGTTTCCCATTGCTGTTATTGTTAGTGTATCCCATTGCTGTTATTGTTAGTGTATCCCATTGCTGTTATTGTTAGTGTATCCCATTGCTGTTATTGTTAGTGTATCCCATTGCTGTTATTGTTAGTGTATCCCATTGCTGTTATTGTTAGTGTATCCCATTGCTGTTATTGTTAGTGTATCCCATTGCTGTTATTGTTAGTGTATCCCATTGCTGTTATTGTTAGTGTATCGCATTGTTGTTATTGAAAGTGTATCGCATTGTTGTTATTGTTAGTGTATCCCATTGCTGTTATTGTTAGTGTATCGCATTGCTGTTATTGTTAGTGTATCCCATTGCTGTTATTGTTAGTGTATCGCATTGTTGTTATTGTAAGTGTGTCCCATTGCTGTTATTGTTAGTGTATCGCATTGTTGTTATTGAAAGTGTATCGCATTGTTGTTATTGTTAGTGTATCCCATTGCTGTTATTGTTAGTGTATCGCATTGCTGTTATTGTTAGTGTATCCCATTGCTGTTATTGTTAGTGTATCCATTGCTGTTATTGTTAGTGTATCCCATTGCTGTTATTGTTAGTGTATCCCATCGCTGTTATTGTTAGTGTTTCCCATTGCTGTTATTGTTAGTGTATCCCATTGCTGTTATTGTTAGTGTATCCCATTGCTGTTATTGTTAGTGTATCCCATTGCTGTTATTGTTAGTGTATCCCATTGCTGTTATTGTTAGTGTATCCCATTGCTGTTATTGTTAGTGTATCCCATTGCTGTTATTGTTAGTGTATCGCATTGTTGTTATTGAAAGTGTATCGCATTGTTGTTATTGTTAATGTATCCCATTGCTGTTATTGTTAGTGTATCGCATTGCTGTTATTGTTAGTGTATCCCATTGCTGTTATTGTTAGTGTATCCCATTGCTGTTATTGTTAGTGTATCCCATTGCTGTTATTGTTAGTGTATCCCATTGCTGTTATTGTTAGTGTATCCATTGCTGTTATTGTTAGTGTATCCCATTGCTGTTATTGTTAGTGTATCGCATTGTTGTTATTGAAAGTGTATCGCATTGTTGTTATTGTTAGTGTATCCCATTGCTGTTATTGTTAGTGTATCCATTGCTGTTATTGTTAGTGTATCCCATTGCTGTTATTGTTAGTGTATCCCATTGCTGTTATTGTTAGTGTATCCCATTGCTGTTATTGTTAGTGTATCGCATTGTTGTTATTGAAAGTGTATCGCATTGTTGTTATTGTTAGTGTATCCCATTGCTGTTATTGTTAGTGTATCGCATTGCTGTTATTGTTAGTGTATCCCATTGCTGTTATTGTTAGTGTATCGCATTGTTGTTATTGAAAGTGTATCCCATTGCTGTTATTGTTAGTGTATCCCATTGCTGTTATTGTTAGTGTATCCCATTGCTGTTATTGTTAGTGTATCCGCATTGCTGTTATTGTTAGTGTATCCCATTGCTGTTATTGTTAGTGCATCCCATTGCTGTTATTGTTAGTGGTATCCCATTGCTGTTATTGTTAGTGTATCCCATTGCTGTTATTGTTAGTGTATCGCATTGTTGTTATTGAATTGTTAGTGTATCGCATTGCTGTTATTGTTAGTGTATCGCATTGCTGTTATTGTTAGTGTATCGCATTGCTGTTATTGTTAGTGTATCCCATTGCTGTTATTGTTAGTGTATCCCATTGCTGTTATTGTTAGTGTATCCCATTGCTGTTATTGTTAGTGTATCCCATTGCTGTTATTGTTAGTGTATCCCATTGCTGTTATTGTTTAGTGTATCCCATTGCTGTTATTGTTAGTGTATCGCATTGCTGTTATTGTTAGTGTATCCCATTGCTGTTATTGTTAGTGTATCGCATTGCTGTTATTGTTATTGCTGTTATTGTTAAGTGTATCCCATTGCTGTTATTGTTAGTGTATCCCATTGCTGTTATTGTTAGTGTATCCATTGCTGTTATTGT